CTCTGTTTCTGTTTTCATAACTGATTTGATAATGATGGATATGTCTTTTAATGTAATGAGAGTCTGTACATTTTTGGCTGTGATTTAACTCTGTATCAGTGACATAGTAAACATTTTCAACTGTTAGAAGAAGGATAAATTAAAAATTATTAATTTGGAGTCATTGATTATATTGTAGTTAAATAATTAAAATAATGCCAATTCATACCAGTAATTACTGAGCTAGAAGATTCAGAATTTGCCTAATCCCTTTTTAACTCTCAAGGTTTACTTTAGCTATTGAGTAAATAATACATTTTTAATTTATTCTTCTATATATACTAGAGGCTCAATGTACACAATTCCTTCAAGGGGCTCGGCCCTCGCAGCCCCGGCTTCATCCAGAAGGGCATTTGGCTGTCCAGTGTGATTAGCATATTATGCTGGTATTATCTATAATAATAAAAGTGTAATATGCTAATTAGTTTGGATGGCGGAACAGTGGAATGACTGTCTGGACCTTCTGGACGACCTTCCAGATGAAGCTGGGGCTGCGATGGCTGAGCCCCTTGCACGAATTTCGTGCATTGGACCTCTAGTTATAGATAAAAGCCTAAGTGACTGGTAGACCGCTAGCTATGAAGCGTACTGACGACCAGGGGGCAGATGCTCAACGCAGGAGCTGCCCCCTGGTGGTCAGTGAGCACCCACAGCAGGAGTGCTGCTCAGCCAGAAGCTGGGCTCAGGGCTGGCGAGTGGAGCTGCAGCCGTGTGACCCTCTCCTGCCTCTGTGGCAGCACTATGGAGGGGCAGTGGCAGGCGTAGTGGGACCTGGATAGCTGGAGCAGCAAGGTGCCCAGCTACAGCTCTCAGGCTCCTGCCTGGCCGCCTGCTGCTTTGTGCACTGCTACATCCCCTGAGAGGTCCCAGATTGCAAAAGGGCACAGGCCAGGCTGAGGGACTGCACCGGTGCACAAATTCATGCACCAGGCCTCTAGTAGTGTTATAAGGGTAATAATACTATAGTTTATCAAATTATAAAGTTACTGTCCTGTTTTAAAAGAGATTCTTGTTGGCTGTTTCTGGATTATCCTATTCTTCTTTTCCTTACTCTTCTTCCCTTTCCTCCCCTTCCCTTTCCATATCCTCCTCCTCCGCCCCATCCCCCACTTCCTGAACTGATTTACTCTTATAATCACAATATGAGCCAAGTTGTTTGTCTACTTATAGACTCTCATTTAGTCTTTCTGCCCACGTTTCCCCTTTTCATACTTAGAGAATAGTCTGTGTAAAAGATAGCAAAATAAATATAACACTTTATTTGTATTCAGCTTTTCCCTTTGTAAAAACTCAGGAATATTCTTATTTGATGTATTGTCATATTGCAATGCTAGCAAAGATGCTGTCACCTAATGCGTTTACAATACTTTAACATAATTCATATATATATATATATGCATATATATATATACTTATTCTATAAATTATATGTGATTGATGAAGATTAATTTTTAAGTTGGAGGACAATTGTGATTTCAGTGTTATGTAATATTGCATGGTATTCAAAAGATAGCAATGTATATCATTACACTAGTCTTTGATCAACATACCTGCAAATCTTTGTCACGAATCAAAGGCTGATTCGCTGCAATTGCTGATAACTCAATTGATAAAACAAATTCAGATACACTGTACAAACATCTCTCAAGTATGATCTTGTAGATAATTACCAAATTATTGCTTTGAGGACAATTAGAAGAAGGAAATGGGTAGAGATGCCATTGTTCCTTTAATCCTTGTTCATTTCCTCACATTGGCTTTTGGATTGCAGCTGTCCACATTACTGGACTCAGATCAGTAGCTTCACGCTGACCAGTCTGAAGGTGTTATCACATTTACTGTGTTCAGTTAGAAACATACTTTAAAACAAAATATCTCTTATATTTTTCTTGCTCCTGCCAAACAAGGTTTTAGCTACCCAATGACTTTTAATTTATGTTTGTTTGACTGATGGTATTTTAATAGGAGATATCTAGGCACACAGTTATGTCTTTTCTTCCTCTGTCTTACAAACTCCTTTCATTCTAAACTCTGGCATAAAGTAGACACTATTAGTTTCAGGGTAAGATTAGAATCTTACAGCAAAGGACGAACTCCTAATAATACTATTGTATTGACTTTAATATTTTAGCAATTGGGAAAGACATTTAATTCTTGAAGTAGTTTCCTAAATATTCTGACCTTGAAGATTACCAAATAATTTTTACTTAATTATTTTTAAATATATTATTTTTATAAGATGCAAGACAATTTTATTAAATGCTACAAAAAATCACAAGTATTTAAATATGTTAGATAATTGCATTTGAGATAACCAAAGTACATTTTGGGATAAAAAATGTTATATTTTAATATAAAAATGAATACACTATAAAACATTAAAATTACTTCTTACAACTTGTTCTTTGGTTGCCTTTCTGGAGTCTAATGACCCCACTGTTGAACAAAACAAAGAAATATAAATAAATGAGAAAAATTATGAAACATGGCAAGTGCAACACAAGAAAAAATTTAAATCTCAAAGTTAAAGTTAATTAAAAACATATCAATGATCAATGACCAAGGAGGTTGGATTCACAAAGTAAATCAATTTTTTTCTTCCTTTTCTTGTGCTGCTAGTATAATAAAAACTTGGGTGAAGAGGAAGTTATGACAGGCGAATATAGGAAACACACACAAGAAATGCCTAAATAAAGTACTTACATGATCTGGAATGAAAAATACCAAAAGATACTAATGATATATTTTCTTTTAATTCCTTACTTGGCCTACTAGATCAAAAGATCATTTAACTTGTGATGCATTCTAAATCTGCTTTCTAATGGACTATTTGGCAAAAGTCAGGAGGGACAACTTTCTCTTTATTGAACTCAAAGGGAATTTATTTGCTTTTATTGTTTAAGATAACAAAATATTAAATACTCTAAGAAAAAGGTATCAAACAAAAATATTTTTCTGTTGTTTCTTTTATATTTTACCTAAGGTAAAATTAAGAATAATTATCAAACATCAACCCTACTGGTTCCTTCGTTCACTGCCTGTGAAATTGCTTTCTTTGTTGGAAAGGTGTTTTCTTTCCAATCAGTTATAACTTTTCTTTTTTACTTAGGGTTTGAAGAGGCAGGCTTCTTCTCTTCTCTAGTAGAAGTATTAGAGCTACCAGTGGCAATTTGTAATGCTCCTCTTCTTCCATGTGAAAGAACTGTCGTATAACAAATAGCTGAGACCATTGCTATTGACCTACCAGAGAGAATTGTCTAAAGGTCTTCAGGAATATCCCCCAATTCAGAAATGTGGAGTCTAGACACTCTGATCAGTAGTGATGGGGAATGTCTCTTTTGTAAGGTTTCAGCCTCTCTTCACATAGCCTTGAGCTGCCCTCGCTGAGGGAAGTTTTGACAGTAACATTTCTATTCCTCTGTATTGACTCTCCTCACCCTTTGAGAGAATACTTCTGATTGTTTAACATGCACTGGGTGAGCAGGAGCAACATTTTTTTCAATGAGCAAAATTGTACTGTTAAAGATAGGTGCCCTGTTTTGGCCATTTTCATATTTCTACTCTTGGTTCTCCTGAACTATGACTATCAGAACTCAAATATTAATCTTAGTGCATTATACTGGAAAACAATATAGGGGAGGAGAAACTTTCATTTACCCCCGAGGTTCTTTGGGCTGGTCGTGTAATCAAATAGACATGGGACAGATTGGCAAGGGAAAGTAACCACATTTAATACATACATGTGTATGGGAACCCCACATACATGATCCAGAGACCCCATATGCACAATAGGTTCAGAGACAGAAAGGAGACATGGGTATAAAAGACATCCTGAGCTAGGGATGAGGTAAGGTGCGTTCATGTGGGGAAGCACAGGACTTGGTTGGAAAGTTTGTAAGGAGGAAACTCCGAAAGGTCAGAACCTCCAGGGGGAGTTGGCTGAAGGCTCCATACCTGCCTTGACTTTTCCAAATAAGTCTGAGCCCCCCGGGTGTTTACTGGAATCTTTATGCTTAACATTTAGACGTTCTTGCTTAAAGGACACTGCAGACGAATGTGTCTTCTCAAGAATGCTTACCCTGCTGGCATATTGGGGGTTTCAAGAGGTCATTGCAGAATAAGAAGATCAGATGTTTAGTTAAGAAAAGTTTGTCCTGCCATAAAGATAGGCTGAAAGGAGTGATCTCTCTGATAATGTCCCATCATAGGCAAGGCCCCTAATTCAAGTTCTTTCAGGTAGTCAAGGGAGGGGCAGAAGTTTCTCCTGAGCCACAGCTAAAGTTTCCCTGAGCTCAAACAATCCAATACCACAGAAGCACATCTTGGGGTGACTAGCTCAAGCCATACTAACAAGTCACACTTTATCAAAATAGTCTATCATTTGAAGTACTTATGAAAGCACAACAGAGACCCCGTTGGAACAATGCAGCCGCATGCACCGCAATTACGTCTTCCGAATGAGCAAGGTTTTACTATGCAGTATGGGTGTCAGAGGCCTGGGTCCCCATAACAGGATATTGCAGTTTGGCAATTCCCCTGGAGAAAGGGAAATAATCATGTTGTTACTCTTTAACCATGAACAAGCTTTGAAATGACTGAATAGGGTATTCAGAAACCTAATGAACTATGCTGTTTCAAGGCAGAACACAGTTACTACGCAGTCATTTTCTGAAGGGGACTCAAGGTTATTCACACTACAGCCTCTGTGTGGTGTTGACCAGGATCCACGGTGAAGCCACATGACAGTATAAATGGTTTGAAATAACTATGTTCCAGCAATGGGAACACAAACTGTTCACTATGTGAACCCTCTTTGACAACATATAGTGAATCAACTGATCCTCAAAACGTTCACAAACATCTAATATTGATACTTGCATGGTCTTTCAGGTCTTGTTATCTATGTTGAATAGATAGAAAATATAAATTACTTAACTTGCCTGTGTGTTTATAGGTGAATTATTGGATGCAAAGTTGGGTTTTTTAAAAAGAAAACTTTATTCCATACTTATAGATTCCATTCCTTCGGAAACATCAACCTTTATTCAAAAGTTTATGAATTCTCCTAATCTGTCCCCTTATGTGGGGGAGGAAGAAATTTTTCTCCACCCTCCTAAATTCTTTCATCTGCGCTTAGATTTAAATCAATGTAAGGCAGATTAACAAGAGAAAATAATCAAATTTAATTACAGACATATCCATGGCAACTGCACATTCATGAGAGGTTCCAAGACAGATATAACATTCTAAGCTAACAATGAGGTCAGGCACCTTGGGTCACTGTGGTATGGAAAGAAGAGCAGATGATCAGTAATGAGTACCAGTAATGAGTAGTTTGCCCTGCCCTATAGCTGGTCACATGGTTATCTCTGATAATCTCTTATGAGCAAGGCCCCTAATTCAAATTCCTCTAGGTAGTTAAGGGTAGACAGAAGTTTCTCTTGAGCCCACGGGGTCTTGGTTACCTCTAGGTCAAAATAATTTGCCTATCGCAGAGACTCATCTTGGGTGTCTCATTCTGAAACGCCACACCTGGATCCAGGTTGGCTGGCCCCCTTGAGGAATAATAACACCAAGCTGATGAAAATTGTTTCCATATTCAAAGTAAGTCATGGATGGGCCAGAACTATGTGTATCTACTAATGCAAAAGGCATGATGCAATTAGTTCACTTTCTACCTTCCCTTAAACACATGTGTTGCTCCATTCGGTTGCACTGCAATCATCTGCAGGAGTTGGTAGTACGTGAGAACAACTTGAGTGCAGACACCCTGGTGTCCAATGGTACAAAGAGAATGGGTAGAGTGCAGGCTTTCCCCTCACTATTCCTCCTCAAATAGTGTTTTTTTTCTCCGCTAATTATTTTAGGTTAAAAAAAATTGCAAGTTGTTTTCTCTTATATTTGCCTCCTGCTAAGTAAGCATTTAAAATTTATTCTTAATGTGATATTTTAAAAATTAAAATGGAAAAACCTTTTATAGCCTTATGCTCCTCACTCTACACCTCACCGTCACCTCTGTGTTTCAGTGGACCCAGAGCCTCTTCCCTGGTTGTGGGAGATTTCCCAGCTCTCCATCGGGCATACAAGATTCAACTATAGAGTACATCTGTATCTCCTACTACTTGATTGGAATTGTATAGAAGAAAACCTTTATTTGTAGTAACATGCCCACTTAAAGTTCTTATATCACTACATTCTGCAATGCTCCTTATTACATGAAAAAGTCTATAGTTTTTTCTGAGCTGATTTTTTTTTTGGTTTATTTTGAAAAGCATGAGAAAGTTGATTCAATCATATTTTAAAATGAGTTGCTTTTTGTGACAGTGACAAATAAGGACGTGTTTGTATAATATAAGCTAAGAATTTTAAATAAA